CTGGAGTACAGTGGTGTGATCACAGCTCACTGCAGCCTTGAACTCCTGGGCTCAAGCAGTTCTGCCTCTAGCATCCCAAAGTGCTGGGATTACGGGCGTGAGCCACCACACCCAACCTAGGATCTTAATGTAAACCAGGCTCCTGATCTCCTCACGTTTTTATTGCTGTGGGTTGGGGGGCTATTGTTTTTGTTTTCCTCTTAGCTTATGGATTGTCTACAGAAACTTGTTTAGGTGAAAAAGCTGGGAAGCCCCACCCTTGTCCTAGATGGGTTTACCCAAGCTCCCATTGCTGCAGCTATGATGGGGCTAAATTTAAACACAAGATTATATGGCTCTAAGTTCACGTAAGTTTGGTCTAAAAATCAAAAAGGGTCTACACTGAAGGATATGTAAAACAACAATAACAATAATTATCTCTGGGCAGTGTGTGTGATTTTCCTTTTCTTCTCTATGCTTTGTCTTTCTTTGCTAACAATGTGCTAATTTTGCAGAAGGAAGCTACAGACCTACCTATAGATGTGTGTGCATGTGGTTGCACGTGTATTTGGCAACAGGCAAAGAATTACACTCTAGGGAATCTCCATAGGATTTTCTGCTAAAGACCTGTGTTCTGTTTGGCGTTTCCTAGCTCATCAAGAAGAAGCTGGTGGGATCCGTGAAGGCCTTGCAGAAGCAGTATGTGTCCCTGGACACAGTGGTCACTAGTGAAGACGGAGATGCCAATACCATGTGCAGCGCCCTGGAGGCTGTTTTTATCCATGGCCTGCATGCCAAGCACATCCGAGCTGAGGCTGGAGGAAAAAGGAAGAAAAGTGCCCACCAGAAGCCTCTGCCCCAGCCTGTCTTCTGGCCCCTCCTGAAAGCTGTCACCCACAAGTGAGATTAGCGGGAGAAGTTTTGCTTTGGGGAGGATCAGCAGAGTATGGGACACTTGGCTTTTCCTCCCCAGCTATTCAGGAAGCCAACAGAGATGCCCTGTGTTGTAGCATAGAGATAGGGTGAGGTAGGGTTGCAAGTGTCTTCTGGAAAGGTTCATCTCTAGACCAAGCTTCCCAGCCAGTGTGCCAGCAGATCTGGAGACCCTCAGCACTCAGGCAAGAGCCTGTGGCTGCTTTGAGCCCTGGGACTGGTCGCCTTTAGCAGGAACGGCGTTTTTGCCACACTGGGGCAGAGTTATGTAGTTACAGCAGAGGTTGTGGCCTGCAAAGCCTAAAGTATTTACTATCTGGCCCTTTACAGAAAACGTTTGCTGACCCTGCCTTAGATTGTTCGAACATCTGAGTTGTAAATCTTATCTCTTAAGGAGGTATGGGGTTATTTTTATTAAAGACTGGAATCAGGAAGGAGCATATGAATATTTACCCTGAGACACTTCTCTCTGGCCTCTGTCTGGGCTTTTGAGCAAGTTGCTGGCACTGTGCCTCAAAGGACCACTAAATGCCACCTTGAGCCCAAAGAAGCCTTGTCAGTCTCTGATCTTTCCACACCGACTGCCACTGCCCCATCTCCGGTTCCTCTTCTTTCCTGGGTAACAGTGGCTTTCTAGTTGTCCCCCTATCTCACTCTGTCTTTCCTTGAGTTTGTCATCTGGTCAACATTTACTGAGCTGAAGCTCCCGGAGCTTACTCACTGAG